GGTCTGCCGACATCAGTCGCGTTTGTAACTGGCATTTCCTCCAGCCTACGGCCAGTTCTTTTGTGGCGAGAACAAGCCCTCCTTATGCTTCTCACTGAGCTCATCCGACCGTCCATCTATCCATCCCTATCTCCCTCACTTTCCCCCGTCCTGTCTCTCCCTCTGACACATGCAGCACAACAGCGCTCACACTCGGGTAAGTCATGTTCTCATGACTGAACATGATTGACTCAGTGAATAAGGCTTTAAAAACACACTGACTGTGCCCGGGCAGCAGCGATAGATCACTGGGCAACAGCTTTGAAATACAATGAAGGGATTCAAAGAGCCTCTGGCGATGGCTATCTACCATCTGGTCAGATCTTTGATACACAAAGCAGAGCGCTTGTCAAAGTGCTCGGCCTGTGTTTCGTGACTATAGCAGGTTTGTAATTTGACAAATCGGAATAAAGTCAACAAGACAAGCTGCTCTTTGATTCCCCTTTGTACCTCTGATGCTTTACCGAAAAGCAGTATTGATAGGAATGTGCATCATGTACCCCCCAATATGTTTTCAGTAGACGTAGAGCAGGTGGGATTCAGTGTGTTGACTGTTTACTCTACAGCAGTGAGTCTCGGAAACTAACAGCAAACAAATTGATGACAGGAGTCCCATCTCAACAGGTAAAGACTTCTGCCAAACTAAGTGTTTGATTCAAGCCTCCGCGGATAGCTCAAAACTGGAGCATGGCAACACCCTGAATTGACATGAGGCAGTAATAAAAAATAAAAAGCTGTTAAACACTGGCCAAGACAAGACAACTAATGTACTTCACCAGCCATTTTGGATCACAGCCAGCCAGTGTGTGGGGCATTCTTCCACTGGTCCCAAAAACCTCTTTGGATAGTTAAGTGCCAGAAGTGCTTGGGGAATATTTTGTGACACACCCGCTTTCACAGCAGGTGAGTCGTCTCTCGTAGTCCGTGCACTCAGATGAGTATAAGCAGTGTCAGAATAAAACACTTGTTTATCCAGAAGGCTCCTGGCACTAACAGAAGAACCTGGAGAGTGAGTTGTTATTCTGTGTTGCAGATTTCCCTTTTCTATTAATCATGCTTCATCCGCTCTCATGTTCAGGGATCGCCTCCCCCACTGGCTGAGTGTCAGCGGCGTGGGTGAGTGTTTGAAGTGGGATGGAGATAGACACAGTTGAGAGCGTGTCAGAAGGGGCCATTTGGCTATTTTCAGTGTTGCAAACTTGTAATAGCTTCCTAGACTTGACCTGAAAGTAAAAACAAGAAAGAGAAAGTAAGACTCACTGTCTCAAAAGCGTTTTTCGTTCCTGTTTTCTATTACAAATAATACATTTCCAAAGCGGAAATCATCACTTTAGGTAATGATGAGTTCTCAAAGTACTGCTGAATATTTCATGATGTTAACTTACCAGGAATTGCCTTCCTGGAAGTGCTCACCGAAATGAAGGCACATTATCATGAAGGGTTAATTTGGGCGAACCACAGTAACCCAAAGAGATTAGAGTGAATGTTGTTAATGGAATATTTTCTACCAATAACGGTATGATTAGATGGAGGCGCCTAAGTTTCTTTTAATATAACAACAACAGGATAACCACTATCATTTGAGGTATATTCCATCTGTTATATAACACCAGGATATGGTCCTCTATAAATAACTAATTGTGAAATGGCTCCCAGCGGAATCAAGAGCGGAAGTCCAAAGTGAAAGTGCTCCTTGTGGTATAGAATCTATTCAGTCCTTTTGAGTTTGACATTATCACCCTTTAATACACGCATGCAATTATCCGTCTCAAGAGTGTAATAACTGTGTTCCAATTTTCTCAGTAAAAGAGCAAAAGAGTTATTTCCGACGCTAGTTTATTCCATACAGCATGGAGTATGTACATTGATGCATGATTTTTGTTTCTTAGTCCAATTTATAATAAAATAGAAAGCATATGTTTAATGGCTAACTTGTGTTTTACCGGTTGCTTTATGGTGTTGTGTTTTCCCCTGTAACTTAAATCCTTTCACTTTGGTTATGTGTCCTTATTTTACTTGCCAGAAAATTGCTTTTTCTTTTAGCATTTAGCTTAACTTAGCTCCACTCTCTGCGACGCTTTTGGTTGCAAAAAAACACAACATGGCTACAACCTACTTCTACTTCTTACATGCCATCTTTGGTTTACTTATTGCACGTTGCTTTGGACACAAGTGTCAGCTAAATGCAATGCAATTTAATAATATAATCTGTCTACAGCCATGGTAGCATCTCTGTGGTGCAGCAGTGCTTCGAGCTAAATGTTAACATCAGTATGCTAACATGTTCACACAAACAATGCTATCATGCTGATGTTTAGCCGGGACTTTTACAATCTTCACTGTTTTAGCAATGACCTCATGCTGGTCAATTAGTTTTTTTCACACATGTGTCTATGTATTGTATATACAGTGTTGGGCAAGTTACTTCCAAAATGTAATATATTACATATTACTTATTACTCTCTTTTGAAAGGAAAAAGTTACATTACAATATTACTGTCTCTGAAATGTAATGAGTTACACTACTTTAGTTACTTTCACCAAAATAACCGCAAAAGAATGGCTAGGTATTTTAAATGCTAAAATGTAGTTATTGTACATCCAGTGAAGGGCAATGTGGTATAGCATAACAACTGTAGGTCCTTAAGGCTACTAACAACTTTTATGGCACAATATGGCACTATTTTCACATGAATATTCCATTGTCTATTTGTATACCACGAGCTGCAAAATGACCGCCTTACCCCACTGTACAGGCGGGTACTTGTTTAGATATATCTGGGCAGGCTCTGTTTTGCCGTGGTATCCTGGCACCTGCGGGCCGCAGAGGGGCGGCGTAGTTTCGGGCGACGAAGACTGCTGCTCCGGGGGCGAGTCAGGCTAGTGTCCACAACGGAGGGTAACGTGATGTCAAGCTAGTGTCCACAACGGAGGGTAACGTGATGTCCCCATCTAAGCTGTTGCTACTGTCTGCAGTAGATGCAGTGTTGCTGGCGTTTAGTGATGGTTGCTTTAACCATTTTCGTATAAATGATTATCCACAGATGTGTGTCACTGCTGTGGAAGCATTGTGGAAATGATGCACGCGCAGCAGAGCAGGTCACGCGCACCTGACACAATTTGTTGTTTGTATTTTTCGCTCCGTTCGGTTTTTTGAATGGTGCATAACATTCAACTGGGGGTGCAATGCATGCCTATGCACCCCCGAAGATCCCTACGCGAAGCCTAAAGGGCAAACACCAGGTTTACTAATCTAACCGCACAATTTTTCTCTGGTGTTGGAATGTCTCGCTATGTTAGTACATTCTTAAAAAACAAAACACCATTTAATTTTGGGTTAAAATGTGTTGTAACTGCGTTACTGAGCATTGTAACGGGTAATATATTACCCACATTTCATTAGTAATGCGTTACATTACTTCGTTATAGCAAAAAGTAATATATTACTGTAATTCCCTTACTTTTATAACGCGTTACACCTAACACTGTTCCTAACACATTTAATCGATTGTGTGCAAAAAAGACGACTTCTGCCAGTGAAAGCCTCCAAGTTCTCTGCAATTTCATACAAGACTAAATACCAAGAATGCATCAATAACTGGGGTCCATTGAGGTCAGTTTCCAACCCTTAGGGGTGAGGTGGTTTTCTTGAAGTATCTTTGTAATTAAAAACGTTATAATTTCATATTCCAGCTACTGTTTTGGATATCATGCCATTCACATTTTTAATTTGCATTTTAAGAAATTGTAGTTTTTGTATTACTACCCCAAGCTTTGCTTGAGTAGAAAAGAGGAGATGAGTTTTGAAAAGGGACTGGAATACTGTGAGGGTCTCAGAATAGTGGAGATCTTTGGGACAATATGTTCAAAACGGTTTTTTTCAAAATGTAAATTGTGAAAAATTAAATATAAGATATTTCTAATGTGAACCAAAATATAATACTAAATATTATACAAGTGATTTTTCTTAACCAAAATGATTTTTTTTTCTCATGAAAACACATATTATTCTAATACGGGTCCTTTTAGACCCACTTATGGAAGAGTGTAGGGTCCAGTCACTCGTACATCTAAATCTTAAACCGAATGCTTCAAAAAAGCTTAAAAAGGCTGTATTTTGCTCAATTTCGGGTTAATATTTGTATGTAGTGTCTCTACTGTGACATGTCTCCATTCTTTAATGTTGAAAAAGCGCTTTATTTTTCTCATACTGC